CTCGTCGCTGATCAAGACGGACGATTGCTCGATTTTCGCGGAGAAGAGATCACCGTCAGATTGCACGTACGACGGCAAAAGCGATAACGCGCCAGTGTATGCGTGAGCGTGAGTGTACGCGCGACACATGAGATGCTAGTGTTGAACGACTCGGAGCACGCGACAGATAACAGTAATATCTTTACGGCTGCACCGATCGACGATATCGTCAAGTCGACATTCGGTGGCGTTAAACAAGCGACGAGAAAGAAGCTCAACGCGTCAAACGTTAAGTTTTTACAATCTTTGGGATTCGCGGTGCGAAACATCTGAACGATGACTGAAATTCTCAACATCGGAAGCGAGCCGGTCTTTGACGATCGCATCGTCAAGATCGAGACTCACACGTACAACCCGTACGCCAACACAACGTTTGATTATAGCGACGAGATACGAATACCCATACAACAGCAGGATCTGTATACGTTGCCGTGCGAAAGTTTTCTCTACGTCGAAGGAACATTGACGGTGACCAGAGCAGCCGACCAAGTCGGTAATGTGGTATTGGGTACTAATTGCGTCGCGTTTATGTTCGATGAGATTCGATACGAGCTCGACGGTATGGAGATTGATCGTTGCAGAAACGTAGGAATAACGAGCACGCTCAAGAACTACGTTACGGTATCGTCCGATAGAAGCGTGATCCTGCGAAACGCGGGCTGGGAACCACATAATAATCCGAATGGATATTTCACTTTTTACGTACCGCTCAACTTGTTACTGGGATTTTGCGAGGATTACAAACGCGTGGTGATCAACGCTCGTCACGAATTGATCTTGATACGAGCGCGCAACGACAACAATTCCCTGGTGGGAAGTCTCGCGTTGGAGCCTACTATCAAAATACTCAAGATACAATGGCGAATGCCTCACGTGGTATTGAACGAGATCAACAAGCTGTCGATGCTGCGCGCCTTGGAAGACGGACGATATCTAAGTATGGGTTTCCGTTCGTGGGATCTGTACGAGTATCCCCTGTTGCAGAACACGACCAAGCACTCGTGGGCCATTAAGACCGCGATACGTCGTCTTCGCTCTGCAGACGGGTCGGAAGAATGTCATGTCTGCCGACACAAGCCGATTCAACGACTGCAACTTGACCAACGTAAAACTCTATCTAAATTCGGAAGTTTATCCGTACGACGATCTGAATTTGGACTTTGGCAAACACAGATGGGCGATTCTGTACGATATGTATGCGCGTTTTTGCAAGGGCTACTACGGATACGAATATCTCGAGCCGAGTCTCACCGTTTCGACTTTTCTACGTAACGGCCCGTTCGTGATCATCGATTGCTCTCATCAAAACGAATCCGTCAAAAACGCCACCGTGGATGTCAGAATAGAATTCGACTGCATGGAGAACGTACTGCCGAATACCTCCGCGTACTGTCTCATTATACACGACCGCGTGATTGAGTACAACCCGTTGACGAACGTGGTGCGCAAAATAATCTGAGTGTTCGCGGCAACGTTGATGTGAATATTATTTTCTCTCTCTTTCCATCACTCTCCAATACAATTATTTAGAGAGGCAAGGAAAGGAGGGACGGGGAAGTATAAATCAGAGTGTCGCGAGACGGTTTGCAGAGTTGCACGTCATTCCTCTCGATTGACGCATCGACGAGGGAGATAGAGAGATAAAGAAATCTCGTCATGTCCGTACCAACGTTCGTGGACCTGCAAGGATTCCTCGTCGGGATGAAATTTGTAGTGAAGAAGCTGGCGGTGCTGAGAAAAGGCTGCGTTCTGACGCATCATATCTTTACGTACCCCATGTCATGGAATCTCCTCACAAAATCCGACAAATCGTGTGCTACCTGGTTGATTTGCAATCACCACGGATTACGATGGGAAGACGGAAATGTACCGTACAGCATGGAGAAACGCCTGATTACATCGGCCGTCCTTGGTATGAAAGAAGAAGAAGAAGACGATGACGACGATGACGACGAGATGCCGACTCTCGTGTACGTCAAGGGATGCCAGAAACGAGAATGGCTGGTGGATCTGCTGGAGAATTATGCGCGAAAAAACCTAATCGTCAAGACTCTGGATGCGCATTACGAAGATATCGAATCTTTGAATAAACTAGATGACACCAATACTATGCGATGCGGAAAACATGAAAAGAATTGCGCGTTACAAAATGTAATAAAACTATTTAATTGGTGGTCGCGCGCGACGCCATAAAGATTTGCGATTTTTTGTTTAATAAAAATATTATATATAACTTTTTTATGTTTTTTTTCTTACTCCTCCTCCCCTCCCCCATCATCACCGTTAGAGTAGGCTTTACTTCCTTCTCTCCTAAAAACTCCACTGCGCAGTTCTATAAACAATAATTCCCCCTCCCCCCCTTCCCCCACCACCACATCATTACTTTTTGGAGTTGTCGCTGGAGTTATACTCGAGTAATTTTATATGAGCAGGCTTGTCGCGATCGCTTGTACTGACAGACAACTTCTCAGAGCCTAGAGAGCGAAAAAAATGTTCTCCTTTGAAGGATGCAACAGCAGCAGCAGCAACAACGGTGCAAAACGCGTGAATGCCATGAATTATTACGTGCCGATTCACAACGTTGAAACTCAAACGTATGAGGCCAGATGCAATAGGTAAGTTTCGTTTGAGAAAAAATTAACATACAGAGTCTCCCCCATTTTTTTATATCTTTACATATTGTATTAGTTTCGAAAAAAATAAAACTATTTTCATTTCTTTTATCCAGCATTTCGGGGGACCGTCGCGTGGTACGTATACTTAGCAGACGATACGCGCTGACACCTACGGGATACAAATTCCTCGAAATTGCCATCAACGTGGATCCACCGAGCTATGTGGAGATCGCCGTTGGAGATCATCGAGGAAAGGAACTGCTGTTGTCTCTCGAAACGTGGAAGGCACTCTACGAGCAACGACAACATATTCATAATTTTTTTCGCAACGACTTCAAAGATATCCATAGTTTTATACATGTTGGACTGCTAACGGTGAGAGTTTGTATGTCGGTTAATAACGTCAAACGACTCATATCTCGAATCTGTAAACGTACGTCTCGAATCTGTAAACGTACGCTTGATGATGACCGAATCGACGCTGCATCGTATGTTCGATCTCGATCGGTGCATCGAAGCGAGATTCGATCGTTTGGTCAGAATCCTTGCGGCGGTCGATGCAAAATTTGCGCAGTTCTCCGATATCGCGTCCACCGTGACGGATCTCAGGGAAGCGTCGAATGCAATATACGCTAGCGATGCGTTCAATACGAATCAGCTCATCGATTGTGAGCTCGCAGCTTTAGTTTTTTAGCACGTAAGATAT